CTGATACAGCGCGTACTTGCTAACCATTCGACCATGATTGGCAATCAGACCATAAGTGGTTTATTCAATGGTGCTAACAACAACTAATAGAAAAATATCCACCTTCTGGCCTTGTTAGAACTTTTATTTGTAAGCGAGGCAGAGGATTTTTCTCAGCTTGCAATACAGTCTGAATGAATGATACGTTGAAAGGTAAAAGAACGTAGGTCCACAGCAGCTCAGTAGTCTGTCCAGGCCTTAACGTTGTCGCATTTTTATTCTTTTGTAATTAACCAAGAGCTTTTACTTTACAATATACTATAATACTGTTCAAGGGCAATAACCCATCAATCCATTATCTAAAATAATTAACATTTGATGGCACGAACATAAAAAAAACATGTACTGCAGTAATCAGATGTTTGAGTTGTGTGAACCTGTTAAAAATCAATAGAGAGAGAAATGGGGTTTAACCTCCACTCGACACAATCTAGGTCATTTCGGGACTAACACATGGTTCAATTTTATTTCAATAATTCGCTTGCGCTTAGGGGTCTTTAGCAGTGGGAGGAAACCGGATGACCCAGAGAAAACCCACGAGGTTGCACAGGCTAACCATTCGGCCATTCAACCCCCCATCAGTTGGAGGAAACCAGAGGACCCTACTCCTTGTCACATACAACCAGGGAATCGAAACCACGCCAGTTGACTCAATGACAGACCTTATGATACAGCGCGCACATGCTAACCATTCGGCCATCCACCCCCCCTGTCATTAATAAACAAAGCATGTATCAACCTTGAGTTGTGTGTAACTGTTAAAAATCAATTAGTAAAATTCAACCAGATAAGGACTATCTGGTGTTACCGGTAGTTGTTACCATTCATCAAGTGTCATTAATAAAAAAAGCTTGTACCGCTAATCAGATGATAACAGAGTTGTTTTGAGCTGTGGGATTCTGGTAGGCTTCTTGGTAACATCTTGCTCGATAAGGAGAGAGAGAGAGATGGGGTTTAATGTCCACTTGACAAAAACTATGTCATTTCGGGACTAACACATGGTTCAATTCTATTTCAACAATTCACTTGCGCGTAGGGGTCTTTAGCAGTGGGAGGAGACAGGTGACACTACTCCTTGTCACGTACAACCAGGGAATCGAAACCACGCCAGTTGATTAAATGACAGACCTTCTGATACAGCGCGCACATGCTAACCATTCGGCCATCCAACCCCCACTCCCCCCGGCTAGATAAGGACAATTTGATAACTGTTTACCGGTAGTTGTGAGAAAACTTTTAGAAGTCAATAAGCACTTTGGTAAAATCCAGCCAGATAAGTACAATCTGGTGTTACCGGTAATTGTTATCTATCATCAACAGTCATTAATAATTACTGAAAGAAGACCATTTAACTGTGAGATTTGATACCAATCCTTCCACCTTTGTGTGGAGGAATTACAACTCTTGTCGTCTCTGTGAAAGTCGGATCTTGATAATGGTCTATGACCATGTGTTATACAACAATGGCTGTCAGCAAGTGTGTATTAACAGTATGATCTGATTACACCTGTAAGCTGATACAGAATCCCCGGTTGTACGTGACAAGGAGTAGGGTCGCCTGTCCAACCTCATGGGTTTTCTCCGGGTCCTCCGGTTTCCTCCCACTGCTAAAGACCCCTACGCAGAACTAGCGCAAGCGAATTATTGAAATAAAATTAAACCATATGTTAGTCCCGAAATGACCTAGTTTGTGTCGAGTGGACGTTAAACCCCATTTCTCTCTCTATCTCTAAGCTGATCCAGTTGATTATGAACCTGGGCCTTTTAGTAATGACAATTTTTGTCATTAAATCATATAAGTGGTCAGTATTCTAAACTAATGTTTAGTATGTATAGAAAGTGGTTAGAAATCATACAGTTGTCATTAATTAGCAAGTGTGTAATTGCTGTACAAAATGTGACTAGCCATCACTATTGAATACAAAAACCTGGACAATAGTGGTGTATATCATTCAATAGTCACAGTTTTAACACCTTAGTGACAAAACATCTACTTAATGACTACTGCCTGATTACTAACAATTTTAACTAACTAATACACATTATGTATATAAACTGATGACTTGGACCTATATTTTCAAATATTTTCATTGATAACTGTTATTTGTTGCTTAGTCAAAGATATCAATGTTACAGTGTAACCTTGCCAGTAGTGCTGTATGGCAAGATATACTATTCAAAAAAAGTAGGGGATATTTGATTTTGGGGGCATAATACTAAAATATGCAAATGACTACGAAAAAAGTCACTATAGAACCTAACAGAGTAAACATTTCCAGTTACATGTGACGCCAGAACGCACCAATAGCTACCGCATGGAATGCAGGTGATGCTTAGGATCATCATGGGGGTCCAACCCAAGATTTGCACGACTCTGACTTTGAATGTTACAGTCATTGTGGCATTGAATTCCAGGGTGGAAACATCAGTTTAATTGTTTTAGTGACCAGAAAACAAATTTTGATATGCGTCGGCTTACCCAAAATGAAAGGTTACGTGCCCTTGGCATGCTACAGATCGGCACAACACAGGCGGTTGTGGCGCGGACGATGAATGTTTCTCAGTCTGTCATAAGCAGGCTATGGTCCAGATACCGTGATACACAATCTGTACAGGACAGACCACGCTCAGGTCGACCAAGGGCGACAACTCAAGCCCAGGATCGATTTATCCGTACCTTGGCCTTGAGAAATCGTGTCATCACAGCAAATCAGATCAGCGCTCGTCTTCAAACAGACACTGGTGTGAGAGTGAGTGGCCAGACGATTCGGAATCGACTGCATAGGGGTCACCTTCGCGCCCGACGTCCTCGCGTGATCCCTTGTTTGAGAGATCATCACATTCAGGCAAGACGTCGTTGGTGTAGGGATCGTCAACACTGGGATAATCGACGCTGGAGCAATGTGATGTTTTCAGATGAGTCAAGGTTCACTGTTGATTTTTTTGGACAGACGTAGGAGGGTGTGGCGTCGTCGAAACGAGCGCTTCCAAGACGTTAACGTCATCAGACATGATCGATTTGGGGGTGGTTCTGTTATGGTGTGGGGAGGCATCACTGTTGCTGGAAGAACGGCTTTACATGTTGTTGCAGGGCGTGTTACAGGCCAGTACTACCGGGACAACATCTTGGCAGTCCATGTTGTGCCGTTCGCACGACGTCATGGCCGCCGTTTCATCTTCCAGGATGACAACGCAAGATGTCACAGGGCCAGGGTCGTTACAGGTTACCTCCAACAACAGAACATCACCACATTACCTTTGCCAGCACTGAGTCCCGACCTCTCCCCCATCCAGCATGTCTGGGACATGCTTGGACAGAGGTTACGTCAACGTCAACAACGTCCTGCCAATGTCCAAGAACTTGCTGCTGCGTTGCAACAGGAATGGGACAATCTGGACCAAAATGACCTTAGACGTCTCATTAGGAGTATGCCACGTCGGATCAATGCTTGTTTGGCAAACAGAGGAGGATTTACCCGTTACTGACTTGGTTGTGATGCTGTGGTAACTTTGCTGTTTGACCCCGGGTATCATTTTACCCTTATAATGGTCAGTCTGTGCCTTACTTAGTCTAACGATCATTTGGAATAAATCGATGAATGTGAACTTCATTTCATTTTGTCATTTGTTTCTTCGTCAGTTTCATTAGGTGACTTTAATAACACTTAAAAATCAAATATCCCCTACTTTTTTTGAATAGTATATATCACTGAATCAATGTATCATGATTCTGAATTAATGTATAGCGATTCTTTTTTTTGTCTTTTTTTGTTGCTTCAGTAAGTAACGTAACCTATCATTCTTAATTATCCATGTCACACATTATTCATAGTTACAAAACACTCTTAATGTTTTGGTTCTTATATTGATCCACATCAATATCCTGATATAAAACACTTTATTTCTTAGACATCGGCAAGACTAAAACTATCAATTATTGATTTAAAGATATATTATGGGAGATTCGATAACGAGTTGGCAGTTCTCACTATAATAGTTAAAAACTAGATAATGTAAAGGCAATTTGCTGAAAATTTCATTCAAATTGATCCACTATGAACCGAGAACAAAGCGATTGAATTTTCGCCTAGCCTTGATAATCATTACTAAAGTCAGTACGATAAACAGCATAGTCTTGATTATTCATTTAATCGTTAAATCGTGAATGAAAGTTATGCAGTAAATCGGCTCACAATCCACTAAAGATCGCAGGCTAGCGATGCCATCTAGAGTTGATTATGGTCTGGATAGGTTAATTAATGTCTAATTTAGATAACATTTCCGGCCTAAAGAAAGACCTGCAATAGACCGATTTAGCTCTTGCATAATGTATGTTTAACCTGTTGTTTTCTTGGTAAATATTGACCTGGTTATGAATCCTGATACGAATCGTATCATAGCACCTGAATCACAATACGTATTGTATTGTGACTGCAGTGGCAATATCCAGCACTACTTGACAGAAGTAGAGATCTTTCTGAAACTAAATTTGAGTAACTTTTTGCAACTAGTGAGTAAAACTGTGTTTGTTGTTAGTTATCTGTGGAGGAGGATGTCAAAGAATTATGGATAAAAAAAACAACAACTTCATGAAGTTGTCATCATCAAAATTGGCAAGTTATTTGCTTGAATCTGATGGAAGTAAGATACAAGAGTGTGATTGGTCACCTATAGAGAATGGGACATTACTTTTATCATTCTCAGGAAAACATACAGGAGAATTTTGCCCAATGGCATTTCTTCTTTCATTTCCAATTTTTGAGGGTTATTTTTGGGCACACTTTCCTTGACAGTCCCGAAGGCTAGGCATGAAAATCTGAAAGAGGTTCTTCTTGACCAACGCCAGGATTTGAACCCAGAACATTCTAGTCATAAGTCCAGTACCCTGATCACTCAACTACATGACTCATGACACCCCTTCTACCCCTCCCTCAATTATTCAATAATAGATTATGCTTTACCGGCAATTTCAAAACGTCCATGACAGTCCTGGGTGCCTCTGAACCACCACAAGCACCTAATAACTCATCATCACTTGCTTTTGCTTCAGCTATTTCACCAATGTTTGCTTTTGACGTTTCAACCGCTTTTGCTTCAGCAGTTTCAGCCACTTTTGCTTCAGAAGTTTCAGCTGCATTCAACCCATTCAGTTGGGTTTCATTACTCATACTGTTGGTTGTATGTAAATCTTGGACATTCAATTTCCTGAAAATATAATAATGCTGTGAATAATGTGGTATATCAAATATCATTAGATTTCTTTCATGTCAACACAAGCATGTTATCTATTTTCAGGTCAGTTGGGGAGACCAGTCGGAGAGACCAGGCCAGTTGGAGACCAGTTGGAGAGACCAGGCCAGTTGGAGAGACCAGCCCAGTTAGGGAGGAGATTAGGCCAGTTTGGGAGATAAGGCAAGTTGGGGATGAGATCAGGCCAGTTGGGAATATAAGGCTAGATGGGGAGGAAAGACGATCAGAGACCAGGTCAGTTGGAGAGAGAGAGAGAAATGGGGTTTAACGTCCACTCGACACAAACTAGGTCATTTCGGGACTAACATATGGTTTAATTTTATTTCAATAATTCGCTTGCGCGTAGGGGTCTTTAGCAGTGGGAGGAAACCGGAGGACCCGGAGAAAACCCACGAGGCTGGACAGGCGACCCTACTCCTTGCCACGTACAACCGGGGATTCGAAACCACGCCAGTCGACTCAATGACAGACTTTATGATACAGCGCGCGCACGCTAACCATTCAGCCATCCAACCCCCCAGGTCAGTTGGAGAGACCAGCCCAGTTAGCGAGGAGATTAGGCCAGTTTGGGAGATAACGCTTATTTTGGATGAGATCAGGCCAATCGGGAATAATATAAGGCTAGATGGGGCGGAAAGACGATCAGAAACCAGGTCAGTTGGAGAGACCAGCCCAGTTAGGGAGGAGATCAGGCCAGTTTGGGAGATAACGCTTATTTTGGATGAGATCAGGCCAATTGGGAATATAAGGCTAGATGGGGCGGAAATACGGTCAGTTTGAAAAAACGCCCAGTTGGGGATAAGATCAGACCCCAAGTTCACAAAGTAATCTTAGACTTAAATTAAGAATTTACTCAAAATGTTCTGCCTTATTTTAACTAAAATATAGCCCTTTATAAAACTTTTTTTTGTTTTAATGTATCAAATACATCAATAAGAAACTATGTGCAAATTTTTGTGTTTCTGTATCAAAGATATTTCTTATAAACAGTGATTGAAAGTTGAGTAAATTCTTAACATAAGTCTGAGAATGCTTTGTGAACTTGGGGCCAGGTCAATTGGGAACAGAAGGCCGGATGGGGAAGATATTGGGTTTGTTGAGGATGAAAGGCTAATTGGGGCAGGTATCAGTTGGAGAGAGAGAAAAATGGCATTTAACGTTCACTTGACACAAACTAGGTCATTTCGGGACAACAGCTCAGTTGGGAATATATGGCCAACTGGAGATGATATTGCGGCAGATATCTGGTTAATTGCAGCGGATAACAGGTCCGTTGAGGAGATCAAGTCGGAATTGCTTGCACCTAACCCAAATACTTGTGGTATCTAGTGTCCGACCTGAATTACACTCTCCTGTCATCAAACTCTTTCTGTAGAACACTCTTTTTGATGGTTACAGTCTGGTAATATCAAAGCAAATTTCATCAGTAAAACAATTATAAACTCTACAAAGCTTTTATCACAACTTTCAAGTTTCCTTCAAACAACTGGCTCATAAAATTATAAATTTCTGCATTACTTCCGACTTCAAAAGGATCATAATGATTATTATTGATTGTTTTGTAGTTCACAAACACATAGCTACAAAGACTTGCTAAATACTTTGGACTATCGGATGTGTTTGTTAATTTTAGCTACGATTGAAGGCTTTTCTCATTCAAGCATGTATATGGCTTCTTTAAAATAAATTTTACAACACAGTTACACTAAATGACACTTAACTCACTCAAAAGAACTATAAATTTGTCCATTAAACATACATTATACAAGAGCTAAATCTGCCTATTTCAGCTCTTTCTTTACCTAATCTCCCAAAATGTATCTTTAACTAAGTCATTTGACACTTCATAAAACAAAGGGATATCATTTTTTAATTAAGAAAATTACAGTCAGAATGGTAAATAAGCCAGTGGCTGAGATTGAGCATTGTGACCTTAGTAATAGTAATGTGCAGGAGGACCACACTACACACAAACAAAACTGATCAGACAAACTTGTGGGCAAGACGAATTAACAGACATTGCAAGAAATAGACAACAAATATCAAATCAAGTGATTGGATCTGGGAACAGCCATAAGCGTCCACTGGTCTGTACAGTCCTGTGTACAGTTTGTTATATTTTGCCATTTGCTCAATAAACCTGAAATTTTTAAAACTGTTAATCATGTTGTAACTTGATGCATTCCCATTAAATCAATGTACACAGTAAATTCAAAATTCCATTGGTTCAGGAAATCTTTGAAAACTTGACACCGGAAATCTGATACATTCCCATTAAATCAATGCCAAAGATTTCAATTCTGAAACAGCAGAATTTTACAAGTAAAGTCCCAATAAGAGAGAAATGGGGTTAACATCCACTCGACACAAACTATGTCATTTTGGGACTAACATGTTGTTCAATTTTATTTCAATAATTCACATGTGCGTAGGGGTCGCTGGTAGTGTGAGCAAACCTGAGGACCCAGCGAAAACCCACAGGGTTCGACAGGCGACCCTTCCCCTTGTCACGTACGACCAGGGAATCGAAACCATGCCAGTTAACTCAATGACAGACCTTATGATACAGCGCGTACATGCTAACCATTCGGCCATAAAACTCCCCAAAGTCCCAGTAAACTTACAATTATAGTTATTTCTATTTGCAATCAAATTAACAGTTATTACGTTTTCATAATGATTACATGTCGAGATACATGATAGGACTTATTCATCAAGTAATAAACTAGACCAAAAAAAACGAATTATCCCCCTCCCCCCCCCCCCCCCCCCGGCACTTGTCCATATAAAACTTATATTTGTAATGAAAATTGACATCTACAAATCTGCATTATCAACACAACACCTTCTAGTTGTTCGGATGGGACAAAAAGCAGTGGTCCTGTGTGCACTTTAATGGCACATAAAAGGACCCTTGACAGTTTGAATCCGAAATAAGAGTAAGCCATTGCGCAATTGTCTGCACAAAATTTACGTCATAGCACACTGCATGGTGCATGCCCATCTTCATTAGTGTGGTTAATTTGCAATAAGAGCAGGCCATAGCGCCACTGCCTGGGAAAAATTCCCCTCATAGCACATTGCATGCCCAAGATCAACTTTGAACCCCATTTCATTTCATATTTTTATATTCCCTGCGCTGTGGTCACAGGGACTTTTCAAGAAACTACTAATATAAACTCCACTTCATCTTTTTCAACACTTAATAAAACTACATTAGACTTCCATAATTTCATTTTTTCTTCACATAATGGACTAAAACTTTGTGATGCATTTTCAGCAAATTTTACACAGCGGAATTGCGTTATACTAAATAGATTTAAAGCTGTGAAGATCTCGGGTTCTAATCTGTGCAACAGAATAATCAATGGCCTTCTACTGAACTTTAAGGATAAAATGTCTTTTAAGAAGAGCTCTTGATCGATGCTCCTTGTAAGAATCAATCGACGGGACTAAATCGGATTTGTATAAAAAAAAAATCCACCCAAACTTGCCAATAGGAGTGGATAATCACTCTATATACACTTTCAAAATTTATTTAAGAGTTTTTTGCACCCCCTCTCAAATGTATTTAGAGGGGTTTTTTTTCCACTCCCTCTCAAATGTCCAAAATCATGTTGTTTCAATGCAGTTTTCAAAGCTATTGGCTGATTCTGATCTTCAAAAATTCATAATCATATTGCTCAACAAGTGACAAATATATACTGTGGCTCAGATATAGATGTTACAATTCGACTCTAGGATGTTACGCGTAGCCCAAAATGTCTCAGAGAGAATTCCCCTGGACCATCCCTAACAATGAAACCCCCACAGGATCGTGTTCCTCATGCAAAATCACCTTTCAGCCTTAATTTTTGTTCAGATTCAATAAGGAGGATTAGGCCTACTTATAGTTATAATGCATGATAAGGCTTTTATTTGTGAGTTGATAATTAGATATCCAGTCCTATACTTCACGTTGTCGGCAATCAAAATTAAAAAAAGAGAATAACTATTAGCCTTCTGGTGCATGGCAGCTTTAATATTTGTGTGTTTATTATGTAGCAGTGGATATCCAGTTCTATACTTCACATTGTGTGTAATTAAAATTCAATAAAGAAAATAACTATTTCTAGGGCATGGAGTATTCTATATCCGTGCATTATATAGTAGCGGATATCCAGTCCTATATAGCTCACATTGGCGGCAACAAAGAAAATACATTTACTTGATGATCAAGTTTCTTATTGGTGTCAAACACAAGAAATGTATTCTGTTTGATTTGGACAATAACATCAAATACTATATAACTCATTAAATCAGTGAAATAATGGATTAATTAACAATTAATTGATGAAGCGGTAGAGCGTGACAATAAACAGAGACAATATCCGACAAAGAACTGATTGAGGTAATATCTCAGCTACGAGATAAGCTACCTGTACTTTGTTACCAATCATTAGTATCTTTTCCTATAATATTGATCCAAAAGCCAAGGGTTCTCAAATTGCATGGCGTCTGGAAAAATGAGGTTCCACTCAGGCACTCGACTATACCAATTTCAAAAAGACTGGATACTAGTTTATTGCCCGTAGATTGTTAATAAGGTTTTGCAACAAAGGGGTATACCGGGTAACTCCAAAAGTTTATGGCAGAAACTAAATCAAATATTGGATGATGAGAGGACCAGGTACATATATAGCCTTCAGAGCATTAACAAGGAGAGAGAGAGAGAGAAATGGGGTTTAACGTCCACTTGACACAAACTAGGTCATTTTAGGACTAACACATGGTTGAATTTTATTTCAATAATTCGCTTGCGCGTAGGGTTCTTTTAGCAGTGGGAGAAAACCAGAGGACCCAGAGAAAACCCACGAGGTTAGACAGGTGACCCTACTCCTTGTCAAATATAACCGAGGAATCGAAACCCTGCCAGACCGCGTATGATACAGCGCGCACGTGCTAACCATTCAGCC